GCCCCCACCCATGCACCAGGCCTCTATCCTATATAATAAAAGGGTAATATGCAAACTGACCCTAACAGCAGAACAACTGGGAATGACTGGTCACTATGACACACACTGACCACCAGGGGCAGATGCTCAATGCAGAAGCTTCTCCCTGGTGGTCAGTGCGCTCCCACAGGGGGAGCTCTGCTCAGCCACAAGCCAGGCTGACAGCTGCCAGTACAGTGGTGGTGGTGGGAGCCTCTCCTGCCTCCTCAGCAGCGCTAAGGATGCCCGACTACAGCTTAAGCCTGTTCCCCGCTGGCAAGTGGACATCCCCCGAGGGCTCCTGGGCTGCCAGAGGGATGTCTGATTGCCAGCTTAGGCCCAATCCCCCGCGGAGCAGGCCTAAGCCAGCAGGTGGTCATCCCCCGAGGGGTCCCAGACTGCGAGAGGGCACAGGCAGGGCTGAGGGACCTCCCCACCCCGAGTACACAAATTTTTGTGCACCGGGCCTCTAGTAAAACAATAAAAAGCTTGATTTTGCCCTAGCCAGTTTGGCTCAGTGGATAGAGCATTAGCCTGCGGACGGAAGGGTCCTGGGTTCGATTCCGGTCAAGGGCACATGCCCAGGTTGTGGGCTCATTCCCCAGTAGGGGGCATGAGGAGGCAGCCAATCCATGATACTCTATCATCATTAATGTTTCTTTCTATCTCTCCCTCTCCCTTCCTCTCTGAAATCAACAAAAATGTATTTTTTTTAAAAAGCTTGATGTTATTTTTCTACATATTGTATCATTCAAATACATAATCTATATTATTTTTGGTCATACATGAAATAGCCACAAAAGCTATCTACTGGCCATAAGGAACATGTCAAGAATTCCAAAGGCAGATATCCCAAACTGTACATACAGATATCTACATACATGTACATACACACATCTACACACATACAGACACATGTGCATCTGCAATCTTTGCTGAACACAATGCAGTTTAATAAAATATAAGCTAAGCTTGGAAAATATTTCTACCTGGGAATTAATACCACAAATAAAAACACGCTTATGTATAATTTGGGGGTTTGAAGGAAATGAAAGGGAAATTACAGGCTTTAAAATGAACGCAAACGAGGACGGCACCTGTGGAAACCCCCAGGCGCCACCAAAAGGGCTTGAGGAGGCGGGTGACAGCAGCGTTTCTTAGGAGACGATCATGACTGACACTAAGGGCACTAAGCTCTCCGTCCGAGAAACTAGAGAAAGAACCATCGCCCAGATGAAGACGAGATGGATTCATGCAGAACAAACAAGAACAAACGAAACCCCCAGGCGCCACCAAAAGGGCTTGAGGAGGCGGGGTGACAGCAGCGTTTCTTAGGAGACGATCATGACTGACACTAAGGGCACAAGCTCTCCGTCCGAGAAACTAGAGAACCATCGCCCAGATGAAGACGGGATGGATTCATGCAGAACAAACAAGAACAAACTCGGATAAAGGAAGGGCGGTGGAGCTGGCTAATCCTCGAGGACAGACCAGCGACAGAGGCAGGGGGCTGGGACCTCTCTCACCGGCTACCTGGGGGCAGGGGTGACGGTGAGAATGTGGGGTGTCCGCCGAGCTCATTCTCACTCCCCCTGCTACCCTCCCCCCAGGACGCCAGGGCTCGTGTGCCGGGGAAGCCCCTGGCGCTCAGGTACTGGGTGCCAGCGAGGAGCCCACCCCCACCTCGCAGCCTCTTCCAGGTGAGCCGGGCTGCAGCCTCTGGGACCACAGGGGCCGGTCGGGCTTCCCGTGGGTTCCCGTAGGAACTGGTCTGCGAGGCCAACCAGGAGAGAGAGCGCGCTGCCCACCCAGCTTCCGTGCAGTGCCGCTGGACAGCCCAGAGTCCTACCCTGCGCCCCGGCCCATGGCATCCAGCCGTGCTCACCGCATCTCCATGCGGGGACTTGGGCACCATGACTCAGGCAGAGGGGGCGTGCGGGGGCCTGGGGGCCCAGATGCTGCCCAGGGCCCAGAGGCCAGCTGAGACCTGCCCTTCCACACCAGATGCTCGAGCTTCGATCGCCAGACAGGCCTGGGGACCACACCTGTGCAGGAATATCATGCACAAGGCATCAAGTTCAAGGAGAAAGCACTTTGCACGATCCTGATGTTGCTCCAAAGTTGAGGGACGTGGAGATTTCTGCAGAGGACGTCCGCCCACCCGGGTGAGCTGCCCAGGTGAGGCTGTGTCACCTGGAGGCAGAGATTACTTCACTGTCTCCACAGACAAAGAGAAACCCTTTGATTAATCAATAGTGTTGAAAACCACTTTGTAAAATTCAACACATTCCTGTTAAAAAGTCGAGCAAACCATGAACAGCAGGGTATTGTCTCTGACAGGGCAGCTGGGGCTGCCAGCCACGAGTTCCGTCTCTCCCTGGAAAGAGGGAAGTAATTTTAGAAGGTGGCATTTTGTAACATTAAAATGCATTCACCAAGCATTATGTTATGCATGAACATAATCTATAGGCTTGTGATTAGAGTGAAAATGTGAATATTAGAAAGTAAGATTTGATATTTAGAGACCAGTGCAAGGTTCAAATGAGAGCATATTATAGCAAAACATCTTATTCAGAACCCTCAAATATCTGTGTCCAGAACAAAAAAATTCATGCTGATAAGTCAGGGGTGGGGGGTGTGGGGCTACCCCTGGGGCTGCAGCTGTGCTGAGGGGCAGGGGGTCCCCTGCGGCTTTGGGTGGTGCAGCCACGCTGAGACTGAGGACGCCACCTGCGCCTCCCCGTGCAGGTCTGTGTTCTGCAGGCTCCAGGCTCTGCCCCGGGCTATGGCCAGGAGGGTGTCTGCCCTCCTTCTCCCTGTTAGCACAGAACCAAGCGGACAGGACAGGGCTGAGCCTCCTCCCTGACGATCTGGACAGCGTGCAGGGCCCTGTGTGCAGGTGTGTCAACGGCCTGAGCCCAGTGCTGCCACCTGCCACCTGGAGGGACAGGGCTGAGCCCCCCACACGGAAGCAGGCTCCACACTTCAGTGCTGCTGACACGGAGCCCGGTGACCACACAGAGAGGCGTCGACACGCCCACACGGAAGCAGGCTCCACACTTCAGTGCTGCTGATGGGAGGCGTCGACACAGAGCCCGGTGACCACACAGAGAGAGGCCTGCAAACAGCTGCCTGGATTATCATTTGTGCGGAGAGTCAGCGTGGAGGTCATCATTCAGACTTTTATAGGCCATTTCTTGGCTGAGCTCCAGGATGGCCCTGGCTTGGCAGAATGGCGAGGTGTGTTTTATGGGTGACAGGCAGCTGTTATCAACCTCTGCATTAGCGCTATGGCAGGGAGGTGGGGTGCCCTGCGCGGTGCATGTGGGCCGAGCTGGATCCCCACTCACTGTGGCCCAGAAATGGGGTGCAGCCTAGCAGCCTGTCTTGGCAGGACCACTGACCCCTATGGGTGGAAGGGTGTGTTCCAGGCCAGCACGCAGGCGTGGGTCCATCCTCTGCCATCTTATCCAAACTTGAACTTTCTTATCAAAACCCCATTCTATTTATCAGGAAACGAACCAAGTCAGTCTTCCTGTTTGTCTGCCCCCCCTCCCCCTGCAGACCCCTGTGAGGGGTGTAAGCTGAACCCCATCATCTTTGCTCACCCGCTGGACTTCACCATGCCCAGGTCTGGATGACGCCCTGCCCAGGTCTGGTCTGAGCCTTCCCAGAGCTGAACATTTGCTCACCCGCTGGACTTCACCATGCCCAGGTCTGGTCTGAGCCTTCCCAGAGCTGAACGGAATTTGAAAAGATGGACTGATTTCTCAGTCCAAGGAAATCACTGCATTTGGCTGAAGGAGGCAAGGCTTAAACATCCTTGAAACCAACTCTGGCTCCTCGTCCGCCCTGCTCCAAACATTTAAAGAAACCCTAGGTCCCACCAGAGAGGGGCCAGCTCCCGGGGTCCAGCTGAGCTGCCAGGATGGGGGGAGGGGGGCAGGCAGAGAATGGCCCAGAAGCCAGGGGGCAAAGGGACTGAGCAGGAACAGGGGACCCTGAGGGTGGACAAGGCAGGCTGCCTTCGACCCCTCCCTGGGAAGCGCAGCCTCCTTGATGGTCTGTCTCCCGTAGTGTCTCAGCCCTCCTGTCACTGGAGGTTGCAGGTGCAAAGGTTTGAAGGATGTTGTCAGAGGCCTCAGCAATTTTGAAGACATGGATGTTGTAGCGAGAAGTGGAGAAGCAGGAGCCAAAGGAGGGACATCCCTGGTGCCCACAATGAGGACCGCGTAGTGGGTGACACCAGGCAACTCCACGCCTGTGTCCCGGTCCTGCCCAGTGCAGGTCCCCTGACCTGCCCACATGCCTTTGCCGCGCAGATGGACAGGGATGGGGAGCCCAGGATGGGGGCACCCCCAGCAGCCTGGCCAAGGCCCCAGGTTGCCAACGGGGTTGGGGGGTGACCGCCTAGGACTCGCTCAGCCCTGACTGTGGCTCAGGCTACACAGCACTGCAGGTGCGATGCTCACTGCCGAGTCCCCGGGATGTGCCCTCCAATCCCACGGCTTGCAAAGCCACCCTGCACCCCCCGGGCTCTGGTGTTTGGAGAGGATGTTACCCCACGACTGTGGAGACCCCAGAGAGGGAGAGGGCTGCACCTCCACGGCCTGCACCCCCGTCGGGGAGTCCAGGCTGGTCGCAGGTGGTCTGGCTCGGCAGGGTGCATCCGACATCGTCTTGGTAGCTCCGGCTGCTGTAAGAAGAATGCTGCAGGCGGGCGGCTCACACGCAGACCTCTCTTCCTCACCTGGAGGCTGAGTCCCGGGTCAGGCACCGCATCGTCCTTTCCTGTCACTGGTGCTGTCTTCTCGAGGTCCTCACATGGCCAGAGGCACAAAGCTCTCTGGGGTCCCTTCTGAGGCCATCAGGGGGGTTCCACCCTCCAGAGCTGATCCCCCAAAGGCTTTACATCCTCACAGCACACACTGCACCCCAGGCTTCAGTGTGTGAAGTTGGGGCGAGGGATGTTCAGCCACGGCTGAAGCACTCACTGCAGGCAGTGCTGGGGTCTGGCTCCCACTCACCTAGGCCTGCGAGCTACCCCTCCTCCACCCCGACAGCAGGTGCCAGAGAGACTGGGCCTCAGCAAGGCTCATGCGGCGCCCACCACTGGACAGTGCACGCACACACACCTACACATGCCTCTGTAGACTCATGTGTGTGTGCCTGTGTGTGCACACATGCATACATGTATAAGTGCCCACATGACACACAAAAGTGCACACATACACAAAGGCAAATGTGTTGTAACATGCCTGCACATGTATCCACACTCACAGGCACATGCATGTTCACGTGTGCATGCACCACATATACATACAGCTACACACCCCTCTTCACTTCAGCAGGAAGCATGCTGCAAACCTGGAGTGTAGGACAGCGATCATGATGTTCATGCCCGAGAGGCCCAGCAATGCACCGTCTGAAGCAGCTCGGGGACTGGCAGAGCCGGCCTCAGGAGTGACTTGTAAAGATGAAAAGCTGAACACACCACCACCGACTCCAGAGCTCGCCTGTGCATCCCACAGGCCGGGTGCCCCACCTCCCACATGACCCAGGGCACTCAGCCTCCTGCGGGTGCTGGGGGAGCCCCGTCTTCTCTGCCCCTTTGCAAGGGGACAGGCACAGCTCAGGGGAGCAGGGAGGACAGAGGTCGTGCCTGGACACGCTGGCTCCCAGCCAGCACCACTCCCCACAGCACAGCCAGGCAAAGGACACCCCAAAACGACCAGCAGAGCTATTTAGGCTGAAGCACCTTTCCAGCTACCCCCCTCAAAAAAGACAGAAACTCAGAAACTTCCCTGTGGGCCAAGGGGACGTTAGCTAAGGACAAAGGCAGCCGATGATCATTTATCACCGCCAGCGGGGAGGGCGCTGGGAGCCGGTGCTGTCCTCGTGGCTCAAGGTCAGAAGCGTCCGCTTTCCCTCATTATTTCTATTTTTAACAATCGCGTTCAGGCCTTTTGCAAAAATAGCAAGAGGTGAGAACATTTCAGGCACTAACATGCTCCCTTTTGTCAGAAAACCACAGGGAGGCAGGGAAAACCGGCCAGCACGCAGACAGCCTCTCCTCCCGGGAGCGTCCGCGGCCCCTGGCGGTGCTCTGACCCACCACGCCACACACGTGGGTAAACTGAGGACATCCAGGGTCAGCACATGCCCAAGGTCACGTAGGGGGTGAGGTCCCAGAGCCACGAGAATGAGCCCCGGTGCCGCAGAGCGCCAGGGTCCCAGGAGGGGCGGGCGCAGGCCGTCCACGTGCAGGCCCCGACCTCCCCGAGAGCCAGGACGTGGACACTGTGTTCGCCTCCGTCTCAGAAGATTAGGACAAGCCCTTTGGGAGGGAGCTGAGGGATGAAGAATGTACCTGGGACAGACATGTGTGCATTATACTAGTACGTGTGCATGTATGCAAGTGTCCATGTGTGTACACATGTATGCATAAGTCCACGTGTGCGTGTGTGTGCTAGTATGTGTGTGTGTGTGCATAGCCGCCCCTCAGGCTGGAGGACAGGGCTGCTCTGTGGGTTCGGGAGCCCCCCGGCTCTTCCCCACCTGGAGCCTGGGCGTCAGCACCCACCCTGGAGCAGCCAGGCTCTGGAAGGGCTACCCCTCCCCGTGCTCCCCACACCCACACTGCACTTCTCCTTTCTCATCTGCATCTAAAATGCACCCCTTGGGCCCAGGCTGAGCCCGATTGGTGCCCCCAGGCAGAGAATGAGGAGGGACGGCCATCTGCTCCCTCCTCGGGAAAACCACGGACAGACCCACTGCCTCCCAGGCAGCCTTGGCCTCTTGGGAGCCATTCTCTGGGCCTTGCCCTCACCCAGGCCGCTGGTTAGCCTCTGGGCCACTCTCCCCGGTGAGG